CCACCCACGACAGATCCCCCAAACCAGACCTTCGCAACGATACGGATACAGATAGCTGCGAAGAAGACACCGAGCAAAATGAGGAGGAGAACCTGTCAAAAAAGTGGCTATCGAAAGCCGTGGCACTATGCAAACGCTTGTGGCCTTCCGCTAAACCTAACACCCTTTCTGTCCGATATCTCTCCCGTGGGTCATTCAATACAGTCTTCAGCCTCTCAATGGTTATATCGGATGACACGCCAGTTGACTACGTCCTTCGGATTCCCGAGACGGAGTCTACTATTCCTCGCACAGCTGCCATTCTCGAGTATCTAGCCAGTTTCCCCGACCTGAAGGTACCTAAAGTGATTACGTGGGATGCCACTAGCAACAACCCCCTGGAGAACGGATACGTCATACTGTCACGGGTACCTGGAAAATGCCTTAATAAAGTCTGGAAAGATCTCGCCCACGACCAAAAGTTACTTCTCGCCAAGGAGTTAGCACGCCAGCTTCTTCGAATTGAATCCGTCACCAACCCAATTGCTGGGACTATCAAGGTCCACGAGGCAGGGTTTCGGCACGGCGACCAAGTCAACGAGCGAATATTTGTAGAGGCTTTCGGAGCGAATGTCAAGGAAATACCTGCCGATCCGATCAACTGGCTTAACAGTGACAACGGTCTTCTACCCCTCGATCGACTACGACACGACCCCCCAGGCTTATCCGTGAACGAAATCATGTCGGCTGTGTTCAAGCGACGCATATACCAGGCAGAGAACCACGAATTCCCAAACACCTACTTTCTTAGCTTCTTTCGTCCATGCCAAAATATCATCGAGAGCATGATTGACTCAAATATCTTCGAGCCTCAGAGCGATGCAATATGCCTCTGTCATCCAGATCTCTTCCCTCGTAACATTATGGTTGACTTCTCGCCCGACATTGTCATCTCAGGAACACTAGATTGGGATGATGCCCTGTTTGTGCCAAGATTTGCTAGTCGTGTTCCTCCATACTGGCTTTGGAAGACTGCACCCGAGCAGGCAACCGAGTACGACTATTTTCAAAGAGAACCTCTTGACCCTGCAGAAATCGAAGCCGACTCCCCCGAGAATACCGAAATCCAACGAGTGTTCGAAGACACTATAGGAGAAAGCTGGGTGTCGGAGGCAACGGGCAAGTGGTTCCCCTTGGCCAGGAAACTTCTCAAATTCAGCCAAGAAACCGTCTATTACACTTGGATTACCCCAGTGAACGTTGCACTTTGGAAAAAGAGATGGCAGTCGGCAGCCACCAATGCAGTCGAGAATTTTTCCATGTGGCGTCAAACGTGGAAGACAATGTTTCTCGAAGAGTCAGACGACTCAGAGCACGAAGAGGTCCCTATCAATGTCAACAACACCAAAGGTGGTTTCCACAAGTACCCGTGTAATAGCAAGTCATCGACAGCAGTTCAGAACGAAGATGATGTCGCATCAATTACGGAAGAACCTACCCAGGAACCTCGGGATCGCAAATCTTCAACGCGGCGCACTGTCGACTGGTTTGAGCGTCTGCTCGCAGCTCCATCTCCGATTAGAACCCAGATATCTCACGACAACGAATTGTGGATCAGAGACGTGAAAAACTGGCTTGAGTCCTAAGGCACAAATTCGCCCAAGACTAGTGCTGATTCCATCTCCCGCTTTCTCCCCGTACCTACAACTTCTTCGACGCGAACCAAAGAGTGTCTTAGTGACAGAAACTCAGTCCGGAAGGAATACAAGGCCTTATCAACTAGGAGAGGTACTATCCAAAAGTCTGACAGTCATAAGTCCTCTACTAAAGTCATCATACAGTAGATTGGACTAGCTCTATATCTCGACACTCTCTCGATGCTAAACGCAAGGCTCCGCAACAAAGGTCTACTCGTCTCTCGATAAACACCACGAAACCGAACGAGGATTTAAGTCACGGCTCAGGGAGTATGATTGGAGGATGGAAATAAGAGTACGGTGGACGATGGCACGGTGGACTTTCAATTCTTTTTCTTTCCTCTTACGTTCTTTAATAATGGCACGGCAGTCTGTCCTCATAATAATACCCAGTGTCGACTTCGCTAGGGTGAATAAGTACAAAGGACAAACTCGCTTACAATGCTCACGTTGTACACGAGATAATTCACTGCATAAATTCTACAAGGATTCAAATGAATCCGGTTATGCGCACATACTTGATGCCTTTAGTGACTTGTGTTGTAAATATCAAGTAATCCTTCTACATTACATAAGGGGGAATGTGGCTCTAACTCATCGTGTCCCTTGCCCTTGTTTGAATGCCATTAGCATTCCTAGGAGACTGGTAAATGATTTGAGACCCAGTGAAAACTATCTACCTAGTTCAAGATAGAAGTAGCTAGACGTAAACTTCCACCCCTTAGAATACTTGGATTGCTCTTGTTGACACTCGTTGAAGTAGGTGTTGAGTAGGTATTTCACATAATCTATGCTCTCGTGAGAATCCTTGAGGTTTCCATATTGTATATTACGTAGCTACGAAGTAGTTGAAAAGAAAATGGTGCCTAAATACCATCCATATCAAGTTAGCACTTTCCAGTCCCGAGACATTTTACTTCGCCTTGGAAGTATACACAACCTCGCCGCCCATGAGAAGCATTGCGAATGCCATGCTAGGCTTCTCAAAAGCCAAGATGTCCATCCGAATAGCATCCTTGACACTGCCAGCCAAGCGCTCCAAATCCTCGGGCGTGTCGACCGGGATACACTTGCACTTCTTGCCGTGCTCGAGGTGAATTGGCACGAGGCCGGCCCCTAGCTGAACGCTACACCCGGTGTCCGGTCTACGGACAATTGGGCCCTTGCCACTCACAGGGCCGGTCTGTTGGGTAACTGGACTGGACATTTTCAGTGTCTATGTTCGGGTCTGTTGTGTATGTGCCTAACTTGATTCCTCCTTGTCTTACTGGATGGCTGAGTGGAAGAGCTTGGAAAAGTTTTGAAAATTCCGGTGACAGGAACCGAGTTTATATATCCTTCAAGTTCGATATGGCTTGCTAGAGTCTAGGCTTCACGAAGTACGATAGGCATTGTTAGTGAATAGAGTGGACAAAGAACCTCATGTTACTTGCATAAAGACTTTGTCCTACTTTAATGGAATTTTTGTCAAGAGGCATGAAAGAGAGTATTCTTTATGCATTGTCCGAGTTCTGGCAGCGCTCCCATAATATTACTAGGACGATCAATTTGCCGTGGACTCGAAAGGAGAGGCGGACGAACACTCATAATTGGCAATCCTGCATAGGATTTGTAGACTGTTCAAGATTAGTAGTAAATAAAACTTAAATAAGAAAAGGAGAATTTTCCGTACCATGAATATCATGATAAAATTCAGGGAGAAGCCATACTACAAATCCAGTGGCCCATCCCAGCACAATAGGGGTTGCTTAGTCATGACTTGAACTTATTATCTGTTCTCAGACTAAAGAGAGCTGGTAAATATTGACAACAACATTATATGATTCAACACGGGTAGAACTCATCGTATCGGATAAGGAGTGTGATTTTCCAAAAACGCATCATGACAACCACTAATATGGAGCACACGTCAGGCTCAGGCTTACTACACCTCGCAAGAGTGATATTTGGCAGAAGACTTCGTGACGTGTTATGTATTTGAAGGTCATGACTTGTATGTTTGCAGTTCGGTTGAGTATACGAGGGAGGCAAAAATGCCCAGATAGTGATCTGGTGTTGATCAGTGAGTAGGGACAACCTCCAAGTGCATGAGTTTCATGATCAAGCGTTTCCTACTTGATTTTTCAAGGAACTAAATCGTCCGATACCTTAGCTGTTGTATTACTAGTGACCTATGGGTACGAGTTTATTTAAAGGGCGCTCCCCTGACACTCCCGAAGATCCCAAGAGACCATCTTCGATATCAAGACAACCAGCACTAACCTACAGTTCTACCCAATACAGCACACCAAGTCTATTGGAAAACCTAAACCTTATCTAAAGAAGCAACTTACCTTCCTCGTCCTTGTACTGCTACTTCGCTATGGCTGGCAAACTCCCCATGCCGAACAGCCCTGTCGGTTGCATTCAGCGACCGAACTACGACCCATATCGACTATGGAGATGGTAAATATCTTGCTCCTATGTTCCCTTCCTCTTATATTAGGCTCCGATACCATTACTAGAGCTCCCCCTATGCCCGATCCAACACCATCCTTCCATACAACACGAGCTAACTGATATGGCCTGATAGCTGCAAGTGCAAGTTCCTGTACGAGCCCTGCGAGCCACAATGCCTACTCAAGGAGTGCCGCCACGACAAATGCGCCGCTTGTGAGTGGGTCAAGGCACCAAGCAGAGACGAGGCCATCGGCTACTAGCATCCAGGCTCTACACTCGAAGTAGACACGCATACGGAGATTTGACAGTATTCCCCTTGAACTGTTTCGCATTCATTGGTACACTCTTTTTGGTATAACTATCCCCTCATATTCGAGAAGACCACACGGTTTCTAGCATGGAAAGGCACAGATGGTGAAGAGTTTGGTTGGCCGGCACATCTCGAATTTCTTATGGCTAGGGTAGGCAGGGCAGATACTACAGCATAACAAATCAATAGTCACTCGTTTCCCCAAACAAATAGTCTTAGTCTAAGGTCTTCGAGCATTACCAGCTTTTATTAACCAAGGTGATTTATTATGTACTACGGGAAATATGGCCCTATTTATGTATTTTCTATTTTCTTATAAATGCCACCACTGTCCCATGGCAAATCACTAACCAGTCCCTCAACGTCGCTATTACTATTGCATCAGAGATACCTAGCATTTTGATAAGGTACCTTTGACTCAAGACTCAGAGAATAAAAGTTGGGCGCAAATAATGGAGTATGTGAGTGCTTATAAGATAGGTAGATACCTCAAGACAATCACACCTATCTAGGACAAGTATTTATTGTTCAATTATAGCAAATCTTTCCAAACATACCCGTAAGAGTAAAACAAGAGTCTGGTGGTGTAGTGGTAACATCATCCATCTTATCTACACTCTTGATAGTTGCTGGATTCCATGGAAGACGTGGGTCCAAATCCCACCTAGGCCAATCTTTTCCTCCTTTCCCCTTTTTTTAGGGTCAATATTTTATTAATTGCTTTTATTGTTATTTAGCTTTGTACCTATGCCCTTATTTATAGGGCAGTTAGAGAGGCAGAACATCGTGTCTTGTGGAGGTCTTTCTGATTTGCTCTTGTGCTTGCCTTTATTAATATTTTCATTTATATCCCAGGTGGTGATCCCGTAGAACTTGTGTATCTAAATGTCTATTAGTCATAGGCACTTGGCCTAGGTTCAAGAAATGAAGCTCAGCACAGACGAACCTAGATATCTATTGCTTGCCATCATTAGTCCCGCTTTGAGAGTATCTTCACGCCGGATTTTATCAAACAGTTGGCGAGATGCAGCGAGTATCATTTAGAACTTAGGAATATGGAGCACCAATTTGACAATCGTATAGTAAAAGGGGGGGATAAGGAGCCTAATTGATGTGGCTGGGCTGACTAGCATCGTAGCTGGCGAACTTAGAAACGTAAGTCTGCGAGCTGAACAAGCTGGAAAACTACCTAGGCATGCTAGTAGACAGCGATATTCGTGGATTCACATAATAGCATACTTCCTAGCGTGGTATCAATTGGGGGATTCACGAGCGAGCGAGGCGCGCGACTAGATCATTGAACGATATGATTACTTTCTTCAAGCTGGATCTTCAATTTATATATAAAGATTGGGAATGCTTATGGCATATCAGGAGATGGTCTCCTACCCTTAAGCAGCCACTCAACTAGGAAGTAGCGTGGAGGATGGTGATAGTACCACCGCATTAGATAAGAAGGTTGATGGTGATATATGACGCTGCCATGATTAGGTCGCCAATGTTAGAGTAATGCAAGAAGGACACTGGGTATTATTAAGATTTATGCCGGCGAAGGAAGGCTGTCGAGGTACAATGCCGATTTAGCCATTGGCTTATTTCTAGGTGACGTTCCTGCCTTATCGTGAACTCATCTAAGGATAACTCCCCTCGACACCAAATTCTAGGGCGAGTAGACAACCGTCCTACTTATGCCATAATTACGAGCTTAGCGCAAGGCAAGCATCAACTGCAAGGCCGACCCTAGAAAGAATATGTCAATAGAGTGCGCGTATATCAATGTGATAAGCAAACTAACCTTCCCTCCTTCTGGTAGACAACGTCACTAATGATGTCACGGTCTAGATCCGGAAACATTCCTGCCAGAGTCTCGACAACATTATTGTGCTCTACTCGATGTAACCTTTGAGCCTCAGCAACTTCGGCGCTTGCCTGTCTTGCTGCAGCCTCTTCGGCGGATAGTCGCTGGCGTACATCCACCGAAGGGCGCTTGTCAGTGCTGGTCCGCGGACTAAGACGTGCTTGCGCACTATCAGATTGAGGAAGGCGGGCAGGCGAACTAGGACCGGCACCACTTGGGTCGTCTGAGAATATGCGGCCTATAGACGACAATGGTTTTTGGATCGAACGAAGCAGACCGGAGATTGCAGGGCCTTCTTCACTAGAGTCGTTGTCGTCGGTAGATGTAGATCGACGAGGCGTGCTCTGCCCATCGATGTCGAGGGACGGTCGTGTCGAAGACGGTCCCGGCGGATATAACCCAGACTTTTCAGACTGCTGGGGCGGTTGGGGCGGAGGTTGTTCCTCTGCCCGGTGCTTCTCCGCAATGGCAGATACGGCCGCCTCTACACTCTTTTCAAACTCCTCATCGGAAATTGTCAAAGTAGTACGGTCCATATTCTCAATGAATTGTATAGCACCCATCTAGCCATATAATCAGCTAACGAACCCTTCATACCAATGAGATCTTAGACTTACTAGGGAGGAAAGATAATATCCTGCTTCTCCTGCAAGTTTTTCCTGGTTTCGGAATCGCAAGATATATTGAACATTAGAGACGAGGTGATCTGGATTAGACCGCAGCACGACGTATATGAGCAGTGGCATAAATGAGTCGGCTGAGGAGTCGGATTTTTGGTGTTTGAGGAGTCCTGACCAAATGATTAGTCTTGCAGTAGGTTGGTGTGGTTCGGTTTCATACCAAATATGACTTTGCAGCAATTCAGGACGCAAATGATCTTATCTCGGGGTGCCCGATAGTTCTTAATTTTAAGGAGTTCTATGATATTGGTTAGTATTTGATTGTGTAGAAACCTTAGCGACTTAGACCGTACCTGTCTCAGCTAGCTCGAGGAATCTCTTGCCACTGTCATTAGTGGACGGAATATCCAAATGCTCTTCCCGAACCCAGCTGTAGATATTAATCTTCTGTGCCAGGACTTCATCTCTCTCTACGTCCTCCTGGTGCTGTCCACGTCGCCCGGGTCCCATTGGCCGGTCACCTCCACGGCGTTTTGGTTTCGCGCCCGGGATAGGTTGAGGAGGGGGTATCGCGGGCGAAAAGGTCTGGGTATAAAGTCTGTTCATAACAAGTTTCTCCATCCCTTCCCGGGCGTTGTCAAACTCTGCATCTGAGACTTCGCTCCATACTTCGCACTGAGCCATTTTATTGGCTATGAAGGCAAGAAAATCACTGATGATCTTGACTTGTTCGTGGACCATCCACTGACGTTTTGCGAACTCTGCTAAAAAGGATTTCAGATATCTTGCCACAGGATCTGCCTTCTTATGCTTTAGCTGTTCTAAGAATCGATGGAAGTCAAATGGCTGAGTAGGTTCAGGTTCGGGTTCGGGTGGCGGTGGCCGGTGTAGTGAGACCTGAGATTCGGTAGTGGCAAATTTCTCCTCCGATGGACCATCTTTGGGCGGAACTGGTGGGCCTTGATCGTCGGGCTCTTTCAACTTATCCTTCGATCGTATGCTTGTGGGCGAGGTGTTGGAGAGTCTCATTTCCTGTAATTGCTGCGCAATACTTGGAGCGAGGGGCTCTAGACTAGATTTTCTGGGTGGGTGTTGCATTGGAGGGCTGCCGAGAAGGGGAGAAGTGATTTCGAGTCGGGGACTCATGACTTCGTCTTCTCCCGGACCACCACCGTCTTCGGGGAACTGTTCCATAATACTCTGAATCTCCGAACGAGATGTTCCCTCTTGCTCGTCCTCGCTGGGATACCGCCTCTCATCGTATCCGGCATCAGATCGGGTCGGAGAAGGCTCTGGGCCATGTCCCTTGGGTCGATGGGTAGAGCTGTTTCTTGAGGGGGGCTGAGAGCCTTCCGGAGTCGGTGGTGTAGGATCTACATACGGGGTGGTTCTGATGGTTAAGTACTGTGATTTCGAGGGTTTGAGAGTTGCGACAGAGGACTCCATAGGGTCGGCTGGGATATCAGAGGTAGTCTCTAAGTCAGTTTTATTAGGTTGGTCTGTTGGGGCCTTGTCATCAGCAACGTCTACCAAGACATTTCGGGCCTGATCTTGAACAGGCTGACCGTGCAGGGCACTCGGCCCTGGAACGTCTGCCATATTGCCTCCATCTTTATCTCTTCCTGAAGTTTCAACCAACTCCGACTCTGACGGGAATGTTGCAGTTGCGGTAGCGGTCGGCAAAGTGTGCGGCGCATCCACGGGCTTTGGATCACTCATGGCGGGGTCATGGTCGGACGGGATAAGAAGCTCTGGTCTAGCAAGAGGACTTGCAGACTCCGGTAGAAGCTGTTCGGGAGGAGGCATGCATGAAAGCTCGAATCGCTCGAAAGAAAGTTGATTTTGTTAAAGCAGTGGTGATTTAATCGCAGGGTGGAAATAGCAATAAGTTGAGTAAGAAGGTAAATTATTGGGATGGAAGGCTTCAGTTACAGAGGCAGTTTATCGTTATCGCCTTCCCTCGAAACGCGTGAAACTCACAGTGCACCTGCATCCATGCACAAGACAAAGGGTTGTACCGGCGATAAGCCACAATCAAATAATTAGGTATGTACCTAGGTATCTACGTACCTAAGCCACGGAATGACGTAATTCAATATGTACCTCTTACCCAATTTCTACTGGACTACATATTAAAGTTGCGCAACTATCTTTCTTCAGTTGACATCAAAAATAAATTTCACATCTCTAATATGTCTCCCAGTTAAACAAGCCAACGGCAGTCTCAAGTCAATATGTAGATACGAAATATCTGCCTCTTGTGAATAATTGCCATGTCTGTCACAAATCATTCTGCATGACTTTGTCTTCAGGGTTTCCTTACACCATTGTTCAGCTTATGCAACATCTGACAGGCTAGGTCTCGGGGCAAAGGTCCTGTACCATCAACCTATTACACAAAATCGATCGCAAGCATTCAACTTTGCAAAGAAGTCTACGATGTTGCCAAGGTTGTTATCGAGTCTCCAAGATTCTCCAAGAGTCCAAGACATAAGGTTTGTTACAGATGGGGGAATTATCGAAATATCGGTACCAAACCACTCTTATACGTGCATTAGCGTAGGTGGTGATGAATTAATGCTATCTGTTGTAGGTGTAAAGTGCGAGGAACTTTCCGTGGCCAAGCAGGCCAACAGCAAATAATAGGATTGGCTAAACGTCATTGTTCCGTTATGCCCGTTACACACGTTACGCGCGTGTGTGGTAGCCAGGTAGATGCGAGGTACTCCACCTCGTAAAATGCGACAGATGGTACATCTATGTCTGATCGGCGCCAAGCCGCCGAAACGGGGGGCCACGGCCGTTAATACGGGGTGGACCGGCATTAGTAAACAGGGAGGTGCAAATGGTGTAGACTTACCTAAGGTATCGTTGTGGAAGGAGAAACAGAAACAGAAACAACTTAGAAGTCTAGTTTCTCTCGTTTTAAATTCTAGATCAAGTTTGCTTCATAAAGCTGTTGAAATATCCCTGGGTCACAGATCCGGTGCCCTTGCGGCCTTTCATTCATTTTGAGTCCTTTATACGCTCGTTCCTCTGCATTTCGATCTGAGACTACGTCTTTCACCGTTGCAGGCGCGTGGGTTTCCCCACGGGAAGAATCTCCATAGGAAGCCCGCCTTGTCGATGCCTGCGAAAGACTTTGCGATGCGGCCACACTCGCTCAATTCTGTGCATAATGCCTCGAACGGCCT